CTTTGAAACCTATGAATCTCTATTAAGCGCCTCAAAAAACTACAGAAATCAAATGATTGCCCTTTCACAAGCTGCTGCTAGTTTTGGTCAAGCATTAGAAAGAACCGCTCGTTGTAAAGGCGCAGATGAAGCTGGTTAGTGGGAGATGATTTTGGAAGAAATAATTAATTATTAGCTGGCTGGTTGACTAGCTGACTGACTTTACTTACTGATGATTGATTTTCATTGTGTTTAGGTCCTGGGTTACAAGCTGCCGCCGGTTTACATTACCTAATGTCAAATCATCAACAACTTTTGGTACTTGCCATTATTATTATTATCTAAATAAATGGCTTTGCATGTTTACATGCTCACATGCTTACATAAAATGCTTACATACATTGTTTTTTTCTTTTACCAGAGCGATACGTTCTATAAACAATTTGAAATTCCATTACTAGAAAATTTTGACGAACACAAATCAGTGATCATTGGTAATGAAGAAACTTACGAGAAATTGATGAGTGAAATGAGCAAAAAAATCAAGGAAACCGAAGCTCGAAATTTAAAAAATGGTCGCAAACGCCAAAGAGGTAAACATTGATTGATAGAATGATATGTGTATATTACGTATGCATATTATATACTATTTACTAATATAGTAATTTTTACCAAAATAATTATTTGTGTCTGTAGATCTTGGACAATTTCGTAAGGTATTTAAAAATTTTTTGTTCACCAAATTCTAAAAAAAGAATTGATTGAATCCTAATTTTTTTTTTCTAACATCATCTAATCTTTTCTATTAAAGGCTTTAAAAGATTTAACAAAACAAGTAGAGGAGCTTGAAAAATTGAAAAACGAACATTATAAACAAACTTTAGAAAATGAACAAAGGAATTTAAATTTTATTCTTTCAAAAGTTTCTTCGGTTGTAAAAACAGAAGTTAATATCTTTGAAAGAATATGTAATAAAGGAAAAGCTGATCCTTTATTAGAACAGGTAAACAACAACAGCAAATAATATGTGTATTTATGATATGTGTTTATGGCGTGTACTCACACTCATACACATTATAATTTATTCATTTGTAGATGATAACAGAAGGAAATGATCCATTTAGTTCAGGTCAAACAAAAGATCAATCTTCACTATCTCCTTCATCAATTTACAACAACAACATAACAAATGGACATTCGAGAAACAACAGCAACAATAATAGTAATGAGATTCCTTGTTGCTCACCGACATTAACAAATTTTTCATCCGAGAATCTTGGAATGTATAACTCACCAAGTAAACTTCCCCGTACAAGTCTCTTTTCTAAAGATTATAATAGATCATCTGCAAGTTCTTTATATCAAGATGGTGATGATGATGAAGATACCAATGAATTTTACTTTTATCATAACGATAATAACAGTAATAATTTCCTATCTTATAATGGTAGTGAAAACCGTTCATCACCACTAAAAATAAATAGACCAAACTTTGTTTCAAACATTAGTGATCTTGCATCGCTTTCACCAAATTCTGGCAATCCTTCCGACAACGAAGATGATGGTACCACTGTAAACAATCATCATTTTTTAAATATTTCTGGTGATTCTGATTTATTCGTTAGTAAAAGTTTTAATTTCGATTCAGAGGAAAATGGTAGTTTGGCCAACAGTTTTCACGATGTCGTAGATGGAAATATGGAAGATAAGGATTGTGATGAGAATGATAATACACCAAATCAAGCTTTCTTATGTGTTAATAACAACAAGGTTGTTGTTGATAAAGAAGAAAAATCATCACAACAATCATTTTTATCAAATACAGACACTAAACCATTATTTGGGTCAAATTCTCCTTTTATAACAAGAAGTCGTTCTTCTACAATATTTGCTTAATTTTTATTAATTAGCATTAATTTATTATTTATATATTTATATTCATTTATGTAAATTTTCAATTTATTAATATTGTTTGTAATCGCTTTTATTTTTTTCTTTCACACCTCTCTTCTATTATATATATAGATTGTACAAAAAATCCGCATTCCATCAATACAATAATACATTAATATATGATATGCTATTTATAATTCTCCTTTTTGATTTTTTTTTTCTTTTTTTTTTAAAAAAAAATTTTTATTAAGTTTAATTTATAAAAAAAAAAAATATATATTTATAATATATATACACATCACAGTTTAAAAAAAATATATATAAAATAAAAAATAAATCTAGATTTAGACGACAAAAATTGAAATTATTTTTGGGAAAAAAGTAATTGCGGTAATAATTAATATAAAATAATATCAATGGAATTTTTAAACAGTTCAAACATAATCATTTTCGGCGTTTCAGAAAGATGGAAAACACCTATGATCACCACTATGCTTTATTATTATTATGTACGTCATGTAAATAAACTTTGCCATTTGATTACGTGGACATAAAGGAATTAGTAATTCATTTACTATTTGTTAACAAATAAAAAAAAAATAATTCCAAACTCCAAAGGTTGTGCAAACTGCATAAATTTTTAAATAGTAACCCTGCAGGGCTGTCACATTATTATATAATACAAAACTGTTTTCTCCCATTTGTAATCAATCCTTTCACAAATCACCATCCCACAAAAAAAAAAGGATTAAGCCGTGGATTAATTTGAATAAGTTTTTTGATTATTATAAAATTTTCAAATATTAGTGAATTTTCTTATTTTGAAAAAAATTAGTAATTATTATTATTATATATTATTATTGTTATTATTATACATTGAATACAGTTGGTTATCTGCTATATTAATTTAATAAACATAATAAATAATTATTTAATGATAATATACTAATTAGAAAATTAAAATTAAGAGGACACTTCATTAACTGCATATTGTTGACCAAGCGATTTAACTTTTTCAATTAATGCTTTGAACGCGGCCTTTTGTTCTGCAGTTGGTTTAACTTCTGATATTGATTGTATACATCCTTCTGCACATCCTATTTATCAAAAAGGAATTTTTGTTATTATATATAAATAGTTATAATAGCAGTTGTAGTAATTTAATTAATTAATAAATACCATTACGCCATTCAAAATCTTCGGATTGAAAAGTAATAGATGTATCAAATCCATAAATATCTTCGCTAGCCTGATCACTCTCAGTAGGTAACTTTGAAAGATTTTCACGAACATCATTGGAAAATTCTTTAACTTGATTACTAAAAAAAAATATATCAACCAATTTAATTGTTTGTAATTATAATAAATAATTGAAAAATATTATTATTATTACCTGGTGACTACACCTTGTTTAGATTTAAGTTCTCTATTCACAAGAGCTGAATCGTTAACTACGCCACCATTTTCATCACCATTTATTTCTATACGTCGTCTTATCAAAAAATTATCATCACCATTATTAATGGATTCCTTATTATTTAATATATATATATATATATATATTTACACATAAGATGGATTATTATAATCACCTGACAGTTGGTGGTTTAAAACCTCCCCTAATTCCTTCGACCAACACTATACGAAAAGAACTCATTATACAGAAAGAAGAAAACTTTTTTAAATAAAAATATAAATTATAGAAAATTTAAATTCAAGCCGAGAGAATATTTTTCAACTTGCGCATCAAAAAAGTTTAAAATGCTCAATTTTAACCTTATTCGTACAAGTTCATTGATCATACGGAAATCTGTGTATGAAATCATGCATATCCTTGATGTCATGAATTTGCTTTTTAAGTTAAATTGATTAAATCTAGAACAAAATTTAATTAAATTTTTCAACTTCTTTTTTTTATGATCATTTCTTTTTCTAATCAATTTGATTGTTCGTTGATTGGCTGATTGTTTGGCGAGTGCATTTAATGATATATATATATCTAGTAAGTATAATTTTTTGAACCGAAATAGATCCAAAATTGGTTAAAAGGACTAGGATTGTCTAAATTAGGAATTTGGATGTTTTACAAAAACAAATTGCCGGCATTATAACAATAATAATTTATTGTTTTGGCCAAAAAATAACACTAACTGCTTTCTATTATATAAATTTTTGAAACAGGTGATTTCAAAAATGACATTACTAATCACCTGATTTTTAAAAATATGTTCTTTAAAAAATTGTTCGTTGTTAGTTATTATCAGTTGGGAATTTTAATTAATAAACAATAATAACCAAGACAACAATTTCCTCTCCAGAATGCATTCATTTGCTCCAACTGTTCATATGACCCAGGGCCCAGGGTTATGTTGATGAGTATATATGCGCGCGATCGGACGAATTGCTTTGCTGGATAAATTACGCATTCTAAATTCCGACTATTCCCAATTGAGTATCTCCAAAGCAAGCTTTATAAGAAGATAAAAGATTAGAAGTTATAAATTGTAATGTACTGCAGAGCTTGAGACAACCATTATAAAACTATATAAACCGATCACTTGTTCCATGATACTCGGGAATATGTATACTAAATATCTATTAAATTTTGTGTAACAAGTAATATAAAAACAATGGTGAATTAAATTTTTTTTGTATACCTAATTTGGTAACTCACGACTCGCATCAAACTGTTCCTCCTTTAAACTTTGTCGTCTTATCCAATATTATCAAGGCTTTTTACACTATTTATCAAGTGACGTTATAACCTTTATATATATATATCCATTCATTCCAGCCATAAAAAACCTGGTTTTTTTTTTTTTAATAATTATTGATTTACACGTGAATGAATGTTAATAAATTGATTAATATATTTGTCACACGAATTAATTTCACAAAATGTTCTATATATATTAATTTATTTTTTTTCAAGTGAGAAAATATTTATTGCAACGTAAAAAACAAAATCGCTTTTTAATTAAAGAGGTGAAAATAAAAGAGAAAAGAGAAAGAGAAAATGATAAAAAAAAGTCACAAAGTTAGTTCGTCTGATTCAAAATTAATCACATTAAAACTTGAAGAGAAATGTAGACTTGAAAACCAAAATAATAATAATAATATTAACAAACATGAAGGTGTGGAGGGAACAAAGGTTTGTTGTACTGGTGGTAGTTGTAGTAGTAGTAGTAGTGAAAAATTTAAAGGCAATGAGAAAGTGATTGAGAAGAGATAATAACAGAGATAATTCTATTTTTTTTTTTCGAAAATTAGGTTCGTAAAGAAGGATCAATAAAACATTTAGGAATAACATTGACAGCGTCACCTACTATACAACATACAGATTTATTGCATTACATAGCGAAAAAAGAACGCAAAGTGCTTGAATTAAGAGAAGAGTTAAAGAGAAACGAAGAGGAATTGAGTTTATTGAAGAAAAAATGGGAAACCATTTTCACAAATCAAATCATTAATAGCCCAGAGAGTCCAATAAATAACAATAAGGATAATGAAAATAATAATAATAATAACAACAATAATAATAATGCTATCACTGCTACTAATGGTGATCGTAATAAACAAGATGGAAACGGAAAAGAAAAGGAGAATGTGAATGGTGTTGGAATTGGAGAAAATGATGATGATGATCAATCAGATGACGTTGAAGTTATAAAGTTAATGAATGGATTAAGTAAGGGAATAGTGGGAGTAGTTAATGGCATAAAGAATGTAGCAGAAAGTGAAGTGTAAGTGATTAAATTAAAAAAAAAAAATGACGACGATGATTATTATTTCTTACAAGTTGTTTCTAATCTAATTTACCCACTCGTACTTTTTTTTTTTAGAACTCATGAAAAATTATTAAAGATTAGAACAGTGGTTGCAGATGTTGCAAATTATGAGCCGTAAGTTATAATATTATTATCAATTATATATAATCAATCATAATCAATCATTCAATTAATATAAATTATATATGTATAGTGTTAAACAAACAAAAAAAATGACTTTTGATTTTACATCACAAGCTTTTGACAATATCACTAAAGGATTTTCTTCAATAGCACAATCTGAAACGTAATTACTTTTATTGTTTATTTTTTTGATGGGTAAATTTGTATTGTCATCTTCCAAATAAATAACAAATTATCATTATTAGAATTAGGAATGCAAGAAGAAAGACATTGGAAACTGTTTATCAATTGAATGAAGTATTGGCTCCAACTTCTCCTCCTCCTCCTCCTATCACATCCAACAATTCCATCTATGCATCCTCGCCCATTTCTACATCACCACCACCACTACCATCTACATCCACATTTTCATCATCATCATCATCGTCATCAACATTTTCTTCTTCCTCTTCACCTTCATCTACCACTTCAACAAATCCTAATTCTCCAAAAACTCCAATACAACAAACTTGGTCACCAACAAGCCAAACTTTCGGTGTTTTCACTATACAGAATTCAAAACAATCAGATGAAATAATATAATGTTTTAAAATCTTGATTCAAAAAAAAAAAAAGAAATTGCAAATGTGCTCTCAAAAGGTAGCATTCACAATCGGTTAAGGTAAAACAACAACATTAAAAAAATAAAACTTACCCAATTCTTATTACTGTAAAGATGCAATAATTCTATAAGCAATTTTTTAGTATAGTTTGAAATTGATATATACGTCCGGGCGTGCACTCTTGTGAAACTACTAAATTATTAAGTCAATAATTTTATTGGGAAAAGCTCAAGTGCAAAAAGAGGTTTATTTTTCTATTAAATATTTTTACACTAAAAATTCATTATGGTGATTTTAAAAATTCAAGATTTTCATATCTATGTCTTGCTGCTCTTTATTTATTTTAATAAATAAATATAAATGTTATAAAAAGAATAGATAATTCAAAATAAAAATTTAATAAAAATAAATGAATTACTTTCTTTCTTCTAAAATTGCCTTTTCTTCTTTAAGTAATTGCTCTTGTTCTTCTCTTGATAAATCTGAACCGGGTAATTCATCTAGTATTCTATGACATCTTTTAAATCTATCATTAAGTTTATTCACCTTTTAATATTTTTTTGTCATGGTAGAGACAATTTTGTTAATAGCTTTTTTAAAAAACAATTTTATGAAATTAATAATAATAATAATATTATACAATAATTTTAACTTCTTGAGGATCTTGACTAGATTCAACTTTATCTAAAATGTGTACGACTTGTTGTAAAAAAGAAAATTCATCACGTTTAAATTTTTCAGCTATCAACATTTTGATTTTATTTGAAATTTTTTTTTTTTTTTGCCCTATTTATAAATTTTTATGTTTCACAAGAAAAAGGCATTATATTAATATTGGTAATATCAGAGATTTGGCTGGATGCAACATTGGCAAAAATAGACGATTCTGATTCCAGTATGTATTGGGATTTATGGAGATTAGAGCTTTAGTTTTTGTTATGTCTCTGCGGAAACTGGGAGGGGTGGATATCTAATTATGCACATGTGAGCCACATCTATAAAAATTCGTGATAAAAGAAATCTATATTGGTTTTTTAACTTTGAATTTTTAAAAAATAACAAATACAATGGTCATAAACATAATGGTTATCAGTTATCCCTATATATATATAATTTTATGTTCACTTTGTAAGTTTTTATTGAAAATTGCAAAAGTAAAAATAGTCAAACACTGATTATAATTTATCTTTAACAAAAATTTAAAGATCCAATTTTTGGTACAAATGAAAAATACTGTCATTAATGAAAGTACTTCAGAAAGAAGAATTGAAACAATGGATTATGATTTGAAGATACATATATAATAACTTTTATTCAATATGATTTAATAATAAAATCATTTGATTTCATGTAAATTAATAAATTAATTTCAATTTCAGTTCCGATTTTTGATTTTGATTTTAGTTTCAAATTTCGCTAGACCTTTCGATTTTGACAACTTGAGTAAATTTTTGAATTTCGCCATCTTCCTGCGACTTTATCCTTTCCTAAAATCAAAAAAGAACCAGTGAAGAAGTTTTAAATCTTGCATACACTGTTAAGGCAATTACTGACAATCGACTTTTTTCAGGAATAGCAAAGGCAGCTAAAACTTTCCAACAACTTTTTAAAAATTAAAAATGTAACTTAGTTAAATAAAATTCAATTGTCAAAAATTATCAGATGCCTCAAATCTAAAGCATAAATGCTGTTTTTTTATTCTATTAATGATAAAATCACGTTATCTTGGAGAAAAGCAAATTATTTAAATATACATATATTGTATATAAATAATTGTATATAATTCCATAATTTCAATAATTATTGTAACATAACCTGGTAATTACAAAAAATTTAGAAATCTTATAAAAGTACTTTGTGGTGGTGGAATATTATAATGTAACCATAGAATTGAAGTAATAATTGCTAAGGAACAGGCACCTAGGTCTATTAATTAAATAAACAATAATTAATTAATTAACAAATAATAAAATGATAATGATAAAGTAACATCATACCAAAGTAATTCCAGAAATTTGTGATATATTTTAATAGTTTCCAGATAAATTGTTTGGCTTCTATTGTGAGATGAATTTCCCCAAGGACAATTGTTGTGGTTAATAATAAATTCCTATTATTATAAGATAATTGATTTGGTGAAGTGGAAGTTGCAATAACAAAGCTTGATAAAAATACTATGTAAAAAATCAATATTCCAATATCATATCCAAATCCAAAAGTATTCCAAAATTAGTTCACTATTCAAATGCTTGTATAATTCTAAAGTATCCAATTCAACTAATTCAACAAATATATATTATCTGGCTTATATAGTAATTCTTTCAATAGTAATAGTGAATATTTGGGTTTGTATGTAAGTAATCTAGGATATGAAATCATCAATTTTACACAATGTTTAGTATTATCTTTATTATGATTTTTGTGTAAAAACCTAAAATTTCCAAATATCCTAAATTTTTTGAACTTAAAAAATCCCAAAAGCCTTTTATCTTATAAATAAAATTTTCATTAACCATTGCATTATAAAAAATTTCTTCGTGATAAATGCCATCATTAAGTGGAAAATAATCATTGAAGTTTGATTAAATAATTTTGATAATTTTTGATAATTTTTTTATAATCTTGGTGATTCTGATATAATTATTTTTAATAAGCTCATATTTGTTGCAGCATCCTTTTTAAAATATTTAAAACAGGAATCAAATAATTTTTCTAAACAATGCTATCATTTACATTTAATGCTAATCCTAAAAATCTTTCTCCATATTTGAAATTATATAAATCATCCAACATATATAAAATCATTTCTTTATAAGGTTGCCTGGAATAATCATATTGAGTAGCATCATTAAAATTAAATAAATAGTCTTCAATATTATTATTTTCTATAGCTGCTTTAATTTTTCTTGATATTTCTTTTTCATTGTAAATCATGTTAATACAAAGTCCTCCTATGTAACTATATTCTTCTTTAATAATATACTTTATAACTATTTTATAATGTTGATTATTAAATGACAAAATATATATATATGTGCTTGTTATTAAAATTAAATCATCATTATTTAGTAATTTACAATATTTAAATCTTTCTGAAGTCTTGAGACAATATTCACCAATTATTAGAGGTTCCTCTTTTATTTCATTATCAATTTTTGAGCTTTTATATTGGTATTTTGTAAAGCATGATCATACTCTACTGACCATTTAATATATAGTTTTTCCTGTTTTAAAACCAATTTCTCTTTTTTCATAATCCTCAAGTATTTCATGTATTTCAGATAATGTTTGTCCTATATGTAAATATAAATGATACCTATTTTTTATACATATTTGTTGAACAGTGTCTAATTTTTCTTTGTTAATAATTTCTTTAATGTAAATTTGATTGTTAATAGCCATGACTATTTCATTATCTGATATGATTGGTCCAAATATGATATCATTTTTATCTTCATATGTATTTTCTACCTAAATCATAAGGATCCATTAATTTATAAATGTAATTATTTGTATTTATATCATATAATAAACATTCTAATTGACTTTTTATAACCACAAAATCTAATTTTTAACAGTGGTATTTTTTTCCAATCCAACTGTAAGATAAAAAAGAAAGAAATATACATAGTATATAAATAAATAAACAAATAATAATAAAAAAAAAAGGAGGCTAAATAATACTTACATTATATAATACCATTATTGTTTTGTCTTGATTAAATACTATATCATTATGATCCTTTCTACATATTAAATAACAACTATATTGATATGATATAGTTGTTAGATTCCATAGTGATAATAACGAAAACTTATCAATTAATAGAAGATAATCAAATTTACAAAATAATCTGTGTGTGAGTTATAATAATTATAATAACTGTAATTGTAAATGCAATATGTTGATTTATGAACCATCTTAACTTATCATTTTCATTATTAACATTACTTATATCTGAATATGGTATAAACAATACAATCTCTTCTTAAATCATCATTTGTAATGAAACCTCCAAATTTACTATCAAATGGATAATAATAATAAATTTTTTTTTTGAAAAGTCAAATAATTGTAATTCTATAAAATTAGTTTTAAATGATACAAATTATATTATTATTATTGCTTATAAATATGATATTCATAATAAATAATCATATTTACTTACTATAATAACTACTTCATACAAGAAGAAGCATATATTTATCATCTGAAACATCTATTATACATGACCTAGTTTTAAAATAGTTATCTTGGCTATCTCGTTGAATTGTTCCTTGGTCAAGGTTAACTGTCCATCCAGTAATAGATTCATCTTTTTTACTATGGTTTACTAAAAATTTATGATTAGGACTATACTTTATTTCATCGATGGGACATCTATTATGTGCATTAACTATAATTTGTTGTCCGATAGCATCAACAACATCCATATAATTTGTAGTTGGTTTTTAATATTATTTTCTGATATTTCATCTTTAACTGTCACTACTTTTATACAATCATCGTTATCGTTTTCTTCTTCCATTTTTATAAAAGAATTGATTGAAAGTTTTTTAATGAAAAATGTAAGGGTAAAAAAATAAATTCGTGCATTAATTTAAAATTAAGTGTACGTTCCCAGAAGACTCCAGATTAGGTAAAAAAATAACTGATGATGATGATAATAATAATAATAATAATAAGATTTCAATTTTGCTTAATATTAATATTTTCCTAATACTAATTATAATATTGCTGGAAAATTATAAAGTTGTTTGTTTACACAGAAGTAAAAATGGATGGATTTAACATGAATAATGCCATTATCTGGAGTTGTCATATGCAAAGAAACCCTTTTCAAAGTGTTGTGTGTGCGAGTTTTAATCATTCCTATTTATAACGTCAGATGAAAACTTATCATAAAAAGCAATCGCCAACACCTCCAATTTTGGCAAGTTTCCTTTTGCTGCCAAATGAAATATTTTGGAATGTCTTTC